TACCAACCAACGCTTCCAAATAATACTAGAAAATAATTTGGAATCCACTAATTTTACGTTCATTGTGTGTGTATAGCATTCATTTTTGTTTTTTACAATTGTGTTTTTTTACGAAAGTGATAACAAATCGCCAAAAACCAATGTAACGCAAGAAATACTAAATTTATACCATTGGCGTACTTAACTCGAATGACTGACATTTTTACCATTACTAATTGTCTGTACATAAGTTTCAACTTTAAAATCAAAACTCTTAATAAGTATTGGGCGGAATTATAAAATTTAAAGTATGTTGTAAAGAGAATTGTAAGAGCTTTCAAAAGAAATATTACTCAACCCCCAATGCCATTTAAATATTTGGGGGTGAAAGTGGCGGAGTCAAAAATACCAGCAAAGAATGTCCCCCTTTAATCTAAAATCGACGGGCCTGAGCGTTTTTCTACAATCTTGACGCAGTTCCTGAAAATAGCTCTGTTTCGTTTTCATTTGGCCACCCTGTATATAAAAAAACTAAGCCTAACTTTGCAGACAGATAGAAATCTATCAAGATATATTGAAATAAAGGTAGGTTTAAAGTGTCGGTTCTAACAGAATCCATAAAAATCGAATATGTAGTTCTTATTTGCTTTACCGTTCCAATTTAGTTATGTTTATATTATTTCTTACTTCACTTTATTCGACTCGAGCGAACGGGTAGACAAAGTAAACTTGCAGTACTTTTTAACCTTGTTTTAGATACATAAGACAAAGAACTCTAAAGAACTCTATTTCAGGCATATCAGACAAAGACGACAGACGGGTGAAAGAATGATATAAAATTTTACGCCATTATAGTCGGAGACAAAAATGGCAGTTTAAATACGAAATTCTTTTTGTTATTTTCCTTAAAAAAAGGAAAAATGTGTTTCCAAGGAATTGTTAGATCTCCAATTATATATATTTTAAACAATGATTATTATTAATTTTGTGTTATAAGTACGAATTTAGAAATGTTGTATTCTTGGAATTAGTTTTTGTTTGTGTACAACAGATCTACTACCCGTATTAAAATTAGTTGTTTCTTAACTGTCATCCCTGCGCATCTAAAAGTCGCTTGCGGTTTGGCAATGTTTAATAAAAATGATGTTAATTCTGTTTCCAGGTCTCACTTGATTCCAGAGTGCGTGAAATTGTCAACCGAAACATGGTGGAGCCAACGCCAAGGACATTCGACGAAGCACAGCTGCAAATCTACACCTTGATGCATCGGGATAGCTACCCACGCTTCGTCAATTCGCCATTGTATCGGTCGTTATCTCAGCAGCAGACTAGTACATCTGGTCCCCAATCAGCTGTGACAACAGCCATGGTGACAGTTTCTTCAGGGTAACTATCATCCGTTTTTAAATTCATGTTGGAACAAAAGGAGGGAAAGAGGCTCCTTTTCACGAGATCCAATGTTTTTTATGTTGTGTTTCACGGAGTTGAATGACCCCCGACAAGAAAAGCAACATTTGAATAACAAAAATGAAAGTAAAATGACAAACAATAAAAGCTTAAAAAATAAAACTAATATATCATACCTTCATCAAATCGCTGTCACTGTCACTATCACCATGTTGATTTCAATAAGGTCAATTTGGTCCAACACAATATCAAAGTCTCTCTTTTTGGACATGATTTGTATACCTTTGACAAGCTTCTGCACTTTGCAATTTCACTTTAAAGAAGTAATTCTGTTTCGACTAATTCAACTGTATTCAATTTTATTTTTAAATATCTCCTTTTACTTGTGCCCATATTGATTCAGTGATAAGGAGGTGGTTTCAATAATGTTATTGCTCGAGTTGAGCCAGGAAAAAGAGCTGGGAAATGAATTTCGCGACTTTTCCAACTCTATATTTCCTGGCCTATCCATAGCATCCAATTTTTTTGTACGCTTGACACTTCTCTACACAATTTTTCATAAGTTGAGCTTGCGTTCGTCTTCAACAAAAGGATCCTTTTTGGGGCACTTTCTGTGATGGCAACAAACTGAAATTACAAAACTTTCAAGGAACTTCTGCAATCAGTATTTCTCGTGGTACTTGGATTGAAATATGTATGTACCATTTTTCGAGAAACCACTTATATGTTACTATAAAACGGTATCTCTTTTCAGATAGCGTTCTTATACCAGTAGACCAACCGTCCATCGCTATTTGTCTTGACTGTATGTCCCTCGTTGGTTCATGCTTTGTCTGTGTAAAAAAGATATAAATAACTTTTTAATTTTCACGTTTGATGGCCCGTATTAAAAAAATTTATATGAGGAACTGATTTTTTTGTATCAAATACCGGGACACCCTTTATATGCACATGTAAGATAAGGTCGTCTTCAAAGTTCTGTTGCAGTGGTGCCACTTGTCCAGATTTTTCCTTCAATAGTAAAAAAGTCTTTATATGCCCAGTTACTTGCATTTCATGAGTAAAACACGAAGTAAGTAAT